CTCCGAAGGGGGCCCGGACAGCTGCCGAGCCCTGGACTGCGGGCAGCGTCTTTCTCCACATCCAGTGCGTCTTGGGGTTTCGGACTCGCTTCCCAAGAAACATGAGGCGTACTGGATATGGATCTTAATCTGCCTCCGAAAGGCTCAAGTCTTATCCATATCCAGTGCGCCTGGATATGCATATAAATATTGCCCGCAGGGACGCCCCACGCGTGGGAAGAAGCAAGGCGGGGATGCCGACCGAGCACCACCTTCGGCCTCTGGGGGGGCCCTCCGTGGGCCCCCATAGAGGCCGTCCGAGGACGACGCGGGGGGAGAGGAGAGCTGCCCGGGGAAGGGGTCGGGTCGTGCGGAGGCCCCGTGCTGAACAAACTCGGACCTCGGATCGCTGGGGGGCCGCCTGCCCCCCGGGGGGGCGGTGCAGAGGACGCAACGGGGGAGGATGCGAACGATTCCAACCAATTCGGACCGTTCATGAAGCACCTCCAACCACGACCACTGGAATATGACTGGTCGTGGCGTCGAGGATTTCATACGAATCTACGAAGGGCACACGAGACTACAACAGCGAAGCGAGCTTATGAACATCTTACGAAGAGCTGACGAAGAGCTGGTGGAACGCTTCTAGAGAGCTTCTAAGGAGCCAGTGAAGAGCTGTTCGAGAGCTTCTGAAGAGACTCGCTCCTGAGATCCCCTGGGGGCTCCTGAAGACTCCTATAAACTCCTGAGGACTTCTGAAGACTCTTGAAAGCTCCTGAGGTATGCTGTGGGATCTGGACATCTCCTGCGAAATCCCAAGGCTCGTGAGGAGATGCGACTGACGGCCCCTGGGCCCACTAGAGGGGACCCCTGGAGGCCGAGAAAAGCCGAACCCATTGCCCATGTAGAAGCCCCATGTAGAGGCAGTCCCAGCAACAATCCGTTGTCAAGATTTTTGTTTCAACGATACGGAGTGTCCGACGGTCCCGACACGCTGCCCAAACGGCCGAATACGGCCCACAAGCCGCCGCCTCTGTTTGCAACAGCCCGGACGTCTGCTGATACGATTATTCTTCAGCCCGCGGGGTCTCCAAGTCGTAAATTCCGCCGTGCTTGTGGAAGCACCATGAGGTTTCCGATAGCCCTACGATGATGGCCCAAGACGGCCCCAGAGGCGTCAATTGAACCACCGTCGCTGGCTTGGATCAGACCCAGGTTGCCCAGCGCATCGCTCAACCCGCGAGCTCTCGCGATCTTCCGCCCCAAGTCAATTTCTGCTGTTCGGGGAGCCCGCAAGCGGGCCCAAGGCTTTGTGCCCGGATAGAACACCTGGGCGACACAACCCGTAGGGAGGTGCCCAAGGGTGCCTGCATGAATCCACATGCAGTCGGACCTCGCAACATGAACGGCGGCGCAGACCCGCCCCGGGCGTCACATCTGCGCCACCGCTGCGAGGCGCTTCGAGAAGCCACCCCGAGACACGGCCACTGGGATGGAGGAAGAACTACTCCGGATCTCATAACAATGGGGGGGGGGTCTGCTTTTGAGGGGGGTCCAAAAGGCTTCGTCAAACACAACTGTGTGGGGGTCTCGATTTTGGACCCTTGGTTGCCTGTCTGGGGGGGGGTCTACTTCGGGCTGTCATGCAAAACGTTTGGGGGGGTCTCAAATTTCTCGACATTTGATAAAAAGTTTTGGGGGGGTCCAGCTCCACTATTATGACATTTGGAGTACCGGATTGACGAAGTCGGACCGTCGGAGGCCAAGGTGCGTCGGGCATCTGGTGCAGCTCGCTGCCAGGGGGGGGGGGGGGGCGCCGCCTCCCGGGGCGCGCCACGGCCAGCATCTCTCGGGGAAGCCGGCGACCTGGGGCGACGAGGGCTCGCTGGGGCGAGCAGCCGCATCCTGTGTCTCACTGCACCGACCTTGCAGACGTGCTGCAGCGGACTGCTGCGTGGATTTTTGGCCAATGCAAAAACCCGAAACGGCGAGCGAAACACGAAGTGACTTTCACGTGGATGTTCTGGTAGTCTGGTGCCCAGCACCAATTATGCCCACAAAATGTTTCAACACGCGAAATCCCTCGAAAACCCGGCCCTGTCCCTGGGACCGGCCCGTCACCCTGAGCAATTCGCGGCCCAACGGGCCAGAGGCGTGCTAAGATCTCCCGTAACTGCTAAATAATACTTCTACTTCGCGCGCGCGGGGCGGCCCCTGGGGGCCCCCGGACGAAAAGTACCCCGGGCGATCCCCGGCAGGGTCGGATCAGAGATGGTTTTCCTCCTGGGCGCCACCCCGGGGCCCTCCAGAGAGCCCCAAGAAGGGCCACGAGGCCGCCAAGAGCCCTCCAAGATGGTTCAAGAGTGCTCCGAGATGCCACACGATCGTTCCAAGACGCCCAAGATGGCCCCCAGACGCCCCAAGAGACCTCCAAGAGCACTCCCCAGAGGGCCCCAAGAGGCAAAATTCATTATTGTTCCTTAGGTTTTGGGCAGATTTTGGCGTGTCCATCTTTTCGGCTTCCCAACGACCCAAGACGGCCCAAGAGGCCCCCAAGATCGCCCCAAAAGGACCCAAGAAGCTCCCAAGAAGGCCCCAAGATGGCCCAAGAGGGCTCCAAGACGGCCCCAGAGGCATCCAAGACGGCCCAAGAAGGGCCCAAGAGGGTCCCAAGCGATGCCCCAAAGGGGGAACACAACACAAAACTTCGAGCCCTCGGCCTTAAGAAGCCCCCAGGAGGCCTCAAGAGGCCCCTGAGAGGCCCCAAAAGCCCCCAAGAGGCCCTCAGGAGGCCCCCAAACGGCGCTGAAGAGGCCCCCCAGCGGCCCCAAGAGGCTCAGTCATGCGAAATGGGCCGGCGGAATGAGCGAAGCGATTCAATAATGTTAGGTCGGCCATGTCCTCCTACAGGCGGATTTTCCACGAAAAATGAAAACCGTCAAATAAACATTAAAACAAGTACAACAAGTTCCACGCACTATATTCTCATTAGTTTGGCATGCTCCTCCTGTGGAGGGACGTGCCCGACTCAAGAGAGTCATGATCTCGACGGCCCAGGGGCCTGGCGACGGCTCCCCATGGAGGTCGAGAGCCACGCGAGCGACCGCCGCTGGTTTCGCACACGACGCGGGCATGCCGCCCTGCCTCTCTTGGCGACGCTGGCGCGTCTGGGTGCTGTTCCCTGCCGCTCGGGGCCTGGAAGCGGGCGCAGAGCTCCGCGAAGACGGCGGCGGTGCCCCCGCGCCGCACGCACAGGGCGTGGCCCTCGGCCTCCAGGCGCCAGGCGAGGTCCCGCAGGCACTCCAGCTGGAAGCTTCGGTCGCAACCCATGGGAGACTCCCATACGCCACGACTATACATACATATATATATATTTGCATATATGTAGATCTATTCAAATACATGTATATGTAATTGTCGATATATTCAAATACATGTATATGTATATATATATATACATACATAGACCCTCCGACGAACTCTGCGTGTGCCTTCAGGGAGGGGGCAGCCGTGAGTAAGGTCGCTGGCTCTCCGTGGTGACTGGTGCACCGCCACCCCCTCCTGAGGCCCAGGAGCAATCTACTGGAGGGTGTCAGTGGATGGCTTTTGTCGTGGCGGATCCCATACCATCTTGCTGGCTCATGCGATTCGACGCTGGTCGACGCTAGTCAACGCTGGTCGACCCCGATCGGTGCTAGATCGCCGCTAGTCGACGCTAGCTCGGCGCCTTCTCGTCGACTACCCGACGCTAGCGCGCGATGGTGCATTCTAGAAGCGGAATTGCAAAGGCTCCCATGATTTGCCACCGAAGTAAGGCAGCTCTCGCCGGGCCGGTGCGGGGGAAGCCTATCAGCGGAGTCGGCCGGAACCACCTCTGCAGGATCTCCGACGAGGTTTCGGGTCCGAGGTTTTCGGGCGATCATTACTGTCGGTTCTCGGCGATTCACTGGCATCGGGATGCTCTCCAGTGGCTGCGCCTCGTCGAGGGAATTCCAAAGGTGCCCTGATCGTACCGAACGGCCGCTAGAGAGCCGAGTTTGGAACCGAAAGCCAAGATGCATCCAGGAAGCAAGCGAATCTATCACGTGGTCGATGCGTGTATCCTTCCTCATTCCTCAAGCTTCGACCTCTGAAGCCCGTCACCGGGCCCTGGGGCTATCACAAACGGATCTGGGACGAAAAAACGCCTCCAGGGAAGCGGTTGTGAGCTTTGGGGCAGCGCGAGGCGAGGATTTGGGAGAATCCGTCTTCGGGGGGGTATCTCGACAGGCGGTGGATGTTGGGAAGAAGCGAATAAAACAATGCCTTCCTCCTTTCCCAGGGACCTCAAAATAATTTGAGTTTGGCAGACTAATACAACCTATCCGCCAAATCTCATGTTTCAATCGTCTGGCCGCCCGGGTAATCTTTCCCGCCGTCGCGTTCGAACTGGTTTTCTATTCGCCCCCCCGCGTTCGCCTGCCGTGGCAGAACCATCGAAACACAGGAAACACAGGACACCTTGGAGGCAAGCAGGGTGTTTCTTGGCGAACCGACAATAAAAGAGAAACGGCGTCGGCAACTTGAACCCATTCCGGTGGTAGGGTGTAGGGGGCGCACTCGGAAACTCCAAAATGCAACGATATCGCCTCACCCCTCTGTCGCTCCTGGTGATCTCCCCTTCGTGTTGGGGCCCCAGCCTTGGATCGAGGACGAAGAGGTGCAGCACGGGGAAGCCGGCCGAGTGAGCAGCACTCAGAGGCTCGTGGTCGTGGGTCCGGAGATCGGTGGTCTTAAACCACACGACCGACACGGATGCCTTCCCTTGGTCGGCCATGCGCGGCCGCCCCAAGGGCTCGAACGGTGTTGGGAGGTCGCACACAAGTCAATACGTGGCGATGACCACAAGGCTCAGCATCAGGTCGCAAGCTGCTTGTATATGGGCGGCACGAAGATCTGGATGCCGATCCCCGAACGATTTGCCCGCTCCTTGTCCCTCAGAGCCCAAGGCCCTTGGTCCCCTAGACGGGCGCGTTCTACTG